TTGCCATTGCCTGATTTTTGACACTCAGAAGGGATGGACTACATAAAAATCTAGTCTTTAGCATGTTTGCTAAAGGGTTCTTTCTCCTACTTACAGAGGAGAACTCTTGGAACTCCATGGAAGACTGCAGGGGAGAATAAAAGGATGTAGTATCAGACAAGCAATGACTGATGTTTCATCAGAGAAGGCAGAGGTGGGTCACTAATTGTTTTCTCTCTTCCAGCCCTATCTGGCATACCACATGTTTGGTTAGTTGATAGTAATTAATCTCGGTAACAGAATCTTCCAGTCTTTGTTTTTGCACTTCTTGTTTTTTTTCTTTTAAATCATAGCAAGTTATGAGACCCTGATTGGAGTTATAGCACTTGAGCCATGTAAAACAGTTCTTATTAAATAATTTTAAGCTGGAGAGTGGTATAATCACACTTATGTTGTAACCCTGGCAGCAGAGTACAATAGATTGTGGAGGAGAAAACTTAAGGCAAAGAGACAAGTTAATAAGCTACAATAGCCACGAGACAATATGGACCCAAACTAGAGTTGTGACAGTAGGAGTAGAGAGCAGGGGACAATTCTGAAATGTAGTAGTTAAGGTGAATTTGGTTCACTCAAGGACAGAATATCTGTCAGGCACAAGGATAGCAATTCAGTGGGCAGGAGCCTGTCTGGGAAAAAAATTAATCCAGATCTGAATTAGCAGGACATGAAGCATCTAGGGGAGAATCAGATTATAAAAAGTGCTTTCATATTATTTATCTCATTTAAATCTCTCAAAAGCTTTTTGAAGTGGCTATTATTTCTATTTAACTGCTACATAGATTCTGTTCATAGAGGTTAAGTGACTCATTCCAAATTAGACAGGTGGCAAGAGGCAGGACTAAAACTCAGGTCTTCTGATTTGAGGTTGAATTTTTTTTCACTGCACCATAATGTAGCAAAGCATAAATTTTATATTTACCATTGATACAGACTAAATGGCTATATTTTGCTCAGAAGATCAAAGGATCAATAAGAAATCCAAGAAATGGGGGCTGGCCTGGTGGCATAGCGGTTAAGCGTGCACGCTCCGCTTCCGCGGCCTGAGGGTTCACAGGTTTGGATCTCGGGAGTGCACCAACACACCACTTGACGCCATGCTGTGGCAACGTCCCATATAAAGTAGAGGAAGATGGGCATGGATGTTAGCCTCGGCCAATCTTCCTCAGCAAAAAGAGGAGGATTGGCATCGATGTTAGCTCAGGGCTGATCTTCCTCACAAAAAAAAAAAAAGGAAATCCAGGAAATGAATCAGAAGAGTGAGGACTTACATTGAAATCCCAGCTCATGAAGAATGAAGAGGATTACTGACACAATCTTTGGTTTCGGTTAGACTGTCACATGAACATTATAATTACTGGGATTCAGGAGATAGACAATATGGATATTTGTGATCTAGCTGCAAATAAAGGCCTTGCTGCCCATACAAAGCAGTTGATTCTTTGTTCGATGCAAACACAATGTACGTCTGGAAAACACTTGCCATGTCGATATAATTTTAAATTGTCAAGCTTTTTTGGAATACATTCATGGAGCACATTAAATCGGCTATTGCTTTGGGAGATATAATTTTATATGTTACACTGCTCTACTGAAATGCCATACTGCATTTCTCAGCAGTCTTCATTGGCTAATAATTCAATTACAAACACAGTTCATTATTTTCATGTTAGACTAGAAAGCCTTTTGCGCTGGCTTGAGCTATCTCCCCAGAGCAAATGGGGCAGTTTACAAAAGGCCAAACCACAGGGTGGAGCATTGAGAGTATGAAGCATCATATAAAATTTAACCATAGTAAATGGAAATCCGCCTTACAGCAAGCTGCTTATCTACAGCTCAGGGCAGCTAAACTTCTAAGATAAAGGCTGGTGCATGACACTGGGAGGGGCTCATGTATTCTCCTTTTCTCTACTTCTTCACTTTGTTTTATAATGTATTACCTTTAGTGCATGTCCTTTCCTTAGTTTTTCCCCTGTCCCCCAGTGAGCAAATTTGCTCTAATACCATGAGTCTTTCCTTGAGTCTTTTCATGGATCCTGGGCCTGCTCTTTTCTGGGCTCAGCTGAAACCATGTGCTTCTATTTCGTTTCTTTTGTACTGTATGATCTTTATGAAGGGGGTTATAAGAAGTCAGACAGGGATATACACGATGAAGTATCTAGTGATGGACAGCATCAGAAATAGGCAGATAAGAACCACTCACTTGTATGGGCACAAGCAATTTTTGCCCATACAAGGGCAAAATTCTTAATTAAGAATTAGATTAATTAGAATTAATAATTGTTAATAAGAATTAAATTCTAAATTCTTGATTCTTGATGAAATTTCTTCTGATCAATCAGTTGAATGGTCTCCCTCTGCATTTCAAATCTCTGAGCATTCATTCATCATCATGGTATTTTACCGACATGCATGGAAAATGAAATTGCTCAGATTAGTCCCGTTATGGTCACGTGGCATTGAATTTCAGGTGTTAAACAAAAGATGTCTTCTACCAAACATCACAATTCTAAGGCTATCTGGTCCAGCAAATCCTGACAGTCTTAATTTACTATTTAGTAATTTTTTACTGTTTACTAATTTACTATTAATATTTCCAATTTATTCTAAATTAAGTTCATTTTCTTTTCTTTTTTTTAAAATTTTTATTGAATTTAAACCAAAAAAAAAAAAGTTCATCCAGTTAATTTTCTCAATTTTTCACATGTACTCAATCTTAGGAATACATAAGACCGATATTAAAGTCCCCCAGAAATGTAAAAGCATTTCTGGTTTTATTTTGATAATTACGTTACAGTTTGTTTTATCTGGAATAATGACTTCTTGAAAGCTGTATAGGCTGTTACATATATAATTTAAATATTTTGTAAAGGAAAAGTTAATTTTTTAATATTTGGTATAATATCATTATAACAAAATTTGACTAATTTTTCTGTTAGTCACATTGTTAACTTAAAATGACATTAATCTTTTAATGTCAATGGGTTATTTTTGTTTACTAGAATCACTTTAAAAAAAGATTAAATCCTCTTAAAAAAACAGTAAATGTAAGAAATAGAATCAAAACTATTTGGCAGCGCAGTTTTAAACAATTCTCTTTTTCTTTCTATTATAAGCAGTCACCATGTTTCACCATTTTTCCAATTTACCCCTCTGTTCATTCAGCATTATCTAAACACTGCCACCACCTCTCTCACTTGATTTCCACAATGTCCTCCCAGAAAAAGAGAAGTCGGGATTCAGTAACAAGTTGCCTCAAAGCAGTTATCTCCTTAATAATGCAGCCAGAATGACAGTGGGAGGATGTATTGAAAAGAGTGCTACACGGGGACCCTTAAAATCTGACTCTAGTCACCAGTAAGCTTAATAAACTTGGCCTCAGTTTCTTCATTTGTAAAGTGAGAATAGTTTTATGTTATCTCCAATGCCCCCAAATCTATAAAATACTAAGTATAAAAAAATAACTACCTTAAACACAAATCATCAACAAATTAAATTAAATCAATATTGATGCAAGACACTAAAACTGAAAGTTGGTTAAAGAAACAATTCCTTGACTTTCAGAATTAGATATTCTTAATCAGCCACTTTTACTATCTCAACACCTATTTAAACTTGTTTATTTGGTAATTATTAGAATACTTTGAAAATAAATTTGACAAAGTCATGCCATTTTATATATGTTAAAATATAATTTACTTTATTTTTAAAATCAAGTTAAGGTCTTCTAAGAGCTGAAGTGTTCTAGTTGTTTGTCCTTTTGAAAACTAAATCATATATTTGAATCCCCTACAACTTATTTTCTATAATAAGAGTGGTCTGAAAGAATCACCATGGCTTTCAGAATAGCCTAATTTGGACCAATAAGATTCTCTAATTTTTGTTGTATTTAGTAGCTCCATATTAATATACACTTATTAAAATTATATTTTGTATTATTGATATAATAAATATATTCTATTGGCATTGTGATTTTCCTATTTGAAGATACTATCCTTAGTCGTAAAATGTAAAAAATCACGATCTTTGTTAACTGCAATACTGAGTAGGTTTCTCCCATCAGACCATGAGACAGAATAAGTTCTTGATGAACTCTCTTCTAAACCAGGAAGTTAGGCAAGCTCTAAGCCATCCTCCAGAAATTACTTGATCTAGAATTCCCAAAACTTCCAAATGAAACTAGGAAAACAGCCTTCGTTCCTAAAGAATACTCCAGATTCTTAGAATTTACATATACAAAGACCATAGGTGCAGAGCAGGCTGCCAGAGGCCTAAAAACTGGGACTAATTTAAAAAAATATATATGACAATTGAATTTGAAACTTGTTATGGCATGAGAGATTATTATTACTGTTAGCATTGGAAAAGGAATTCAAAACTCTGATCATCCTCAAATATTGGAAAGGGATATTCTCTGATCAATTTCCTCAGAAATATTACTTTAAACTTTTTCTTCCCTCCATTGAACCCATGCCCTCTTTCGTAGTAATTTAAGACTTTTTCCCTTCTCAAATTAACATATATACTGGAGGAAACTAACACTTTTCAGTCAAGATTCATGTTTGTTATACTTTACAAGTAAGGCATAAAGAAACAGAATTTTAGTATATTTCCTCCAAGGATAATAAACTGTATTCATTGTTGTTTAACAACTTGGAAAATAAAGGACGTTTTAAAGGTAGGACTGAACTTCTTATCAATAAAAAATTTCATTTAATAAAAAACTATGCAATACATGCATGCTCATCTAGCACAAAAAAAAAAAAAAAGATAGGAACAATTTATTGATGAAGTGAACGAATAGAATACAAAATATATAAATTGCCCTTACCTTTGGAACTGAGATTATAAATTCTTTTCATAGTCAACTAAGGTGTGATTAACATTTAAGTACAAAGGTTATTTAACATTTAAACACAAAGGTTTCTTCATGAGTTATTTTGGATTTATAGGATCCCTCTTACCAGGGTTCCTTTTGAAGCTGTGTTTTATGAAAGATGAGATGTTCAAGCACCTTATTCAACTGAGGACTATTCTTCTGAACACAAGACCAGGCAGCAACACAGTGCCAGAGCAGGTGGTTAACGTCATATCCTCCCTGATTAAATTGCAAATGTTCCTGGAATTAAAATATAAAAACATATTTGGGAAAGAGTTCTTTGACTTGAAAAAACATGAAAATAAATTTTAAATATACAAATGAAAATGCATATTTTGTTACACTTCATGTTACACCAAGCAGAGCAATTTACTCAAGTATTTTCTGCAAGTATATATAGTTAACCTGAACCTTAATATCTTAATATATTTTCACATGGGTCCCTTGTGTTCAATGACATCAGTTCTACACTGTAACAAAACTCCTGTATCCTCTAAGGGACAACTATTAGATACAATTGTGCTTCTTAGACCCTATATGACTTAGTTCTCCCTGACACCGGAGGCGGAGAGAACAGGGGAAAGTTTGAACAATGACCAAACAGTAAATTAGATTTTAAAATGTGGATTTCCACTTTAAGGACCAAAATATATGCCCAGCTGGACATGGTCAATGTCCGCTAAGTAACTATTTTAAAAGCCTACAAATTCAGAAAACAAATAGCTGCTATTTGTTTGTTTTTCTTAGAGTGCTTACTAACAGTTTCATGTATTTAATTGGTCTACTAAAGTAATTGGTATAAAGAAACCTGATTTTATTGTTAGACAATGAAAACAGCACTCTCGAATTGTCAACAGTAAAAATTCAAATACATGTCCTGTGACATGTACTCAAATTGCTAACTTAGATGATATTTTATTGTTTTATGCTCAAAAGAGACTCCAAAGGGCTTTATAATTCCCATTTATTATATAAAACAACATCAGGACTACAATTTAAAGATAATTTTCATGTTGAATCCTCTTAAGATAGAAGGCCAGAGTTTCATACATAAATTTTAGACTAAGACATTGTAAGTTTCTAGTAAACTGTTTAGTTAAGTCTGACAGATGTGCATTGATCTACTTTATGTCAGGAACTTAGCTAGACTCTGGAGATAAAGGCATGAGTAAGATGAAGTCTCTGCACAAGGCTACTGACTCTGGGGAACAATATTTCAGAAAAGCAAATGGAAACAAGTCAGTGTTTAGAATGTTAGAATAGGGCCGGCCCCGTGTCTTAGCAGTTAAGTGTGCACACTCCGCTGCTGGCAGCCCGGGTTCGGATCCCGGGCGCGCACCGATGCACCGTTTCCCTGGCCATGCTGAGGCCACGTCCCACATATAGCAACTAGAAGGATGTGCAACTATGATGTACAACTATCTACTGGGGTTTTGGGGGAAAAAAGTAAATAAATAAAATTAAAAAAAAAAAAGAATGTTAGAATATTCGATAGAAAAGCTTTATTCTAAAATAATGTAAGGCATCAGACTAAGATGTGCTGACTTCAGTAAATGCACATATTTTATCCAAATAACTCAATTTTCTGCTTTGTGGTAGAGCCCACCCAAAAAGTGGAACTCATATAAATGAAATTCTTTTCTTAAATTGCTCTAGAAGTCTCAGCCTGGATGCCTGACAGCCTCACGTTGCTAATTTATTCTGAATAAATATGTAAATAGATATGTTTTGAAACTTCTGGATGGCTTGACTAATTTAAAACAATCAATACTTTTTTGTTTTTTTAAATCATGTACATTGCATGGCTACGTAGACTATTCAGTTAGGTCAAAAATTCTTGTTAACAATCTCATGCACCATCACCAGAGAAAATTCCTGAATGCACTTGGTAAAGAAATGATCAGGATTTAGACAGTGAACAAGATTTAAGTTTTATTTTCAATTTTATATGATACCATTTCTACTCATCATTGAGAGAGACAAAAAAGCAGCCTCTGATTTCTGGAACTGATTTGACATCAATATTATTACAAGCCAGGCTGACACTCACAGCCAGGTCACTTTGTTCTCCTGCTGGATATCACAGAACATCAACCTCAGCCAATATTACTCTGAGGCCACGATAAATAAATAAACAAAGCAGCTTGATAATTTTTTCTAACGCAGACAAAAAGTCACTGTGCCACCTACAAAACACCCAATCAGAATTGCCATTCCTTTCTGACAGTAGCAAATCTAGAGAGAACTCCTGCTTCTATAGAGCCTCCCCCAAATCACCCAAAGTCCAAATCCTACAATAGATTCATTCCAACACCCTCTAACTGAAATATCCCAGGTTCTTTGGGTGTGTATTCTTTCCCTGCAACAAATAATAAAACCAATTTGCTTAAATGCATGTGTGTTCCTGGTGGCCTTTGGCTGAAGGGCATTGGCATTATTAAGGGCAAATGACACTGCCACACCTGTGA